ACCACCCGCTCGACAGATGTTTGGCAGGAAAAAAGGATCAAACTACACCAGAGCACCCATCAACCATCAATAGCATACGTTCGATTACCATGTAGAGGATTCGAGTTGTTGTATCAAGAAGGTTATTTCAGTATTTCGGCCTGATAACTTATTTTTCATCGATTTTTGTCTTAGAAACACTGAACAAGAAGTAACACATTTCTGGCGTTGTTGATGTAAACTCTGTCGTTCACACAGAGAAATGACCTGCTTGTAAGGTGTAATTGTAAAGTTCTCTTCTAAATATGTTGAATATAATAGTGAACAGGCCATTACATTGTGAATGATGATGGCGTCTATTTTACCTGTATTTCATATTATGTATGTGTTTTTATGTCTACAATGCTATCACCATTTAAAAGAAAGAATTTTTAAGTCGTGGTACTCAGAGGATGTTGCATCAAGTCCTTTTTTGTTGGTAACTTTAACGCCCCCTTCGACATAATTTAGATTATTTGGGAGGTGAGCTTCCAACCCTTTCTGTCAGAGCAACCGAGGCTGAGAGGGATAAAACATCCCTGCGTAAAAAAGACCTCCTACATGATATAGCTTGTGTTTGTGGAGCTATACAGCATTTACAAGCTCTATGCTCTTTACGCTAGAATATTTTACCCCAACAGACCACAGAACACTCAGAAACATTCTCAGCTTCCTGGGAAGCATTCAGAGAAAGCAGTAGATAAAGCGCTCAAACACTAACACACTGACAAGATATTTCGATATGTAGCTGGGTACCCATCACCTGGGCGAAGTGAGGAAAATTCGGGTAAAGTGCCTTTCCCAAGGACACAATGCCGGGCTCCAGACGGGTTTCGAACCTACAACCTTACGGTTGTGAGCCTGAGAGCCTAATCACTAGGCCACCGACGCCCCTTTTATCTAGTATCTCGGTCTTTCTATATCTCTCTCTACATAGGTTGACACTGACCGGCAGGGCCGCAGCCGCTTCCTAAATGGTGTAAATTGGAGCGTAAAAACGCCTAATTAAAAAAAAAAGTCAGCGAGTTGAAGTTTCAAAATACCTTTTAGTAGGCATAGACCAAATTTTTTTCTTCAAGAAAATGAACTCGGGTGTATAGTCTGTTTTTGCACAATGCCCTAAAAGTAAAAGTCACTCACCTC